TCCCATCCTGAGTATTCAGCTCTGACAGATGCACATGTCCTGGTGCTATAATCATTAAAATATCTAGGAGAGATGCTTATTGGGGAAAATAAGACTACTCAGAAAGTTCTTAAGCTAATTATCAATTGATTCCACATTGATGGACATAAATCTGTAGTGTGCAATTTTTTTGTCTGTAATGAAAATAAGCTAATTTATACCTTCCTCAAAACATTTAAAAGCAAGCACTTAATTGCCACCTCCCAACCCAAATCAAAAATATAAAGTTACATAACCAAAGTTGAACCACAATTTTTCTTTTTTAAATAAGTGACAAGCTTGTATCACTCATCCTACTCAACACCCGTTTTAAAACAAATGCACTTCCCTCTACCACATTATCTAAGAAAGCTAAATTCAAAACTGCTTTGCCAGCAACTTGAGAACAAAAAATTAATACTATTGGACATTTGAATTTTACTACAACTCTCTTTTCAAGCAAGACAGCAGTATGACAGGGCTATGATAAAACTACAGTTTGGAATACAAATGTTGAGCAGACATTCATACAAAATAAGCCTGCCTTGTAATTACTTCCTAATAAACTTTATTGACAGCACTGCATATCAAAAATATGAATTATCTAGAAATAGAATAATATTGCCCTTCCTATCTGCTAAAACAACCCAAGAACTAGTTTTGAGGATCTTCCAAGTGAAATGATACAGGTATAAAAATTGCATCTCAACTTCTTCAGATTGAAGGCGGTGTGATGTTCTACAGCTATTTGAGCTAATTTAGGACTGGGCAATCTCAGTCTCACCTTTCTAGTTCTTTTCACACCCATTTCTTGTGCAACATTAAACGGTGTGAAGGCAATTGTAAAGTATGCTAGAGCAGAGGGCTGAGCAGAAGAAAATTAAAAGGTTTGGCAGTAAATGGAGTGCAAGTCACGCAGACCCTTATCTCACTAGCTGATCATCTGAGCTGACCATCTGATACTGGCAACCTACATAACAGAGGGAAAAGGAATGCAGAGCCAAAAGACAACCACAAATGCCCTGACTTACGGAACTATACACTGAGACACGATACGTTCAGGGAACCAGGGTTTTCACACCAGCAATTACCAAGAAACTGTGATATGAGGTTTCATAGAAGTTTCATGTTAAGGCTTTAAACACCGAGCTGCTCAAAAAACTTTTAATCATTACTGGTTTTAAGAAAGAATAAGTGAGTATGAGAGAATCATTTTATGTTACTCTATGTTTTTCACAGCAAAGAAAAAACTGGGATGAGATAGGCTGCATCCAGAGGTCCTAAAAGAGCTAATTGATGTTTTTTATGTTTTCTTTCCAAGGCTAGTCGCTATCATCATTGTAACATCATGAAGATTGAGGAAGTCCCCTATAATCAGAGAAGACAAAACTCATACTGAGCCTTTGAAGAGGGCAAAAAGAATGACTTGAGGAACCACAGGCAAGTCAGCTTAACTTCAGTTGCTAAGAAATTCACAGAGCAAGTCATTCTGGAAGCCATTTCTAAACATACAAAGGAAAAAAAAAAAAAAACTCAAACCAACAGGGCCTAGGAATAGCCAGCCTTTACCAAGGCTTTAAAAAGAAAATAAAAAGTCCAATGAGCCCAACTGCCTTCTACAATAAAATTACAATAAAATCAAATATTAAAATAAATATTACAATACATTATTGTAATTATAATATATAGCTATTATTTTATTGATAGCACTAAATATT